ACCACAGTTGCTAATAAACTAAAACTGGTATAGATTAAAAGTCTATTTTTTAAGATTAAGAAGTACCTCCCCCCCATACCTATCTCATCTCTCTCCAGATAAAAAAATAGTAATAAGACACTTTTTAACAAGTTTTGCTGTATTACAATACTGAATCAACAAATTACTCACAATAAGTTTAAAAAAATAAACAAACTAAGATTTGGACTTAGAATTTGATTGACTGGAAACATTTTGCTTGAGTGAGTCAATGATATGAAAGCTCAAACAGAGGTGCAGAAAAGATCCAAAGAAATCTTAAGACACTCACTTAACTGAATATAAATGGGTCTGAGAGGAGTGAAAGATAAAATATTTCACACTTCTTCTTCTGCTATTTGGACTAGGAAAAAGAATTTAAAGAATAAATTCTAACATCTAACATCCTTCACTATGACAGACATCCCTAACATGCTACAGTCTCACCACTGAGCCACACACTCAAAGAGGACAGTAACAAGATATTTTTCCAATACTACTGAAAGACCTAAGCTCTCCCAGGCTCCAAAGTGGGAGGCCCACAAGGCCAAACTTCTGCCTTTGCCTCAGATGCCTTCCACATGTTTTAGCTTGGGCAAGTCATTTTAACTCCATAGCATCAGTATGCTCATCCATAAAATGAAGAGATTGGATTAGAAGGTCTCTAATGTTGCTTCCAATTCTAAATGTATGTTCCTGTGACCAACCATCCTTTGGATTAGCAGTCAGATAGCTTTTTAGTGTGTCAGGCACATGGGGCTATGTACCAAGCCCATGGTGTGGGAGTGACTCCTGGTCCTCTGATCCCCATCCACAATCTATAGCTAATTCTGTTTAATTCAACCAACATTAAATCTTATGTGTGTGAGGCACTATATGGAGGCACTGGAGGAAATTTAGGTAATATAGAGCCCCTGCTCTCATGAAGCTTTTCAGTCTATTTGAAGAATGTCTTTAGAGATAAACTATGACTTCTGTTTCTCAGAAATTTCTCCCTAACCACTAGAAATCATGTTCTATCATTAAAAATAAAGTAACTTTATTTTATTCCACTTTCTCTTTTCTCTTTCAAAAATTATTTTACATGAGATGGCTGGCAGAGAGAATAGAAGCAAGGGAGAAAAATAGGCAATGTAAAAACAAAAGACGTCAAAAATTATGGAAAAAAAAACCCCACAAGTATATGCTCTATATTGTTCCCACATGGTTGCCATCTCTGTCTTGTCAATAGCTTACTGAAGGAAAATTCAATAATTAACTCAGGTCTAAAGTGGAAAGCCCATGCTCAATTATGAAAAACCCAACAAAGGAAAACCCCTGTGATTTCATGCGACAATCCTGCTGGTTACTAACAATGTAGTAGTACCAAAATTCGATAGTTCACAGCATCAGAATACATAGTAGAAAAGGGAGGGAATAAGCACTTATATAGAACCTACTAGGTGCCTGGCAGTAGGCTAAGTGCTTTACAAATATTATCTCATTTGAGCCTTACAACAACCCTGAGAGGTAGGTACCATTGTTACTTCCATTTTAAAGTTGAGGAAACTCAGGCAAACAGAGGTTAAGTGACTTGCCTTGGGTCACACAGTTAGTAAATGTATGAGGCCAGATTTGAATTCTGGTTTTCCCAACTCCAGGCCCAATGCTCTACCCACTATACCATGTACCTCGCAGTGTTCATTATGCAGAATGAATGACTTCAGCCATAATACATGAAAGGGATAATGTTCGAGTCGGAGGACTGATAAAAAGTAAGACTCTATATTCACCAAAATATTTACAGCACCACTTTTTGTGACAGAAATTGGAAACAAAATAACTGATCATCAAAAATTGAGGAACGGCTAAACAAATTATGGTATGTGAATGTAATAAAAATCTTACTGTGCTGTAAGTGAAATAACATAATGAATTCAGAGGGAAGCACAGACTTACATGAATTGATGCAAAATGAAGCAGAAACAAGAAAACAATATACACGACAATAACAATGTGAAAGAACCAAAACAAAATAAAAAAATTAATATTGCTAAATCACAAAAAACAAGGTGGTCCCAAAGAAGAGACATGAGAAGACACCTCCCCCCAACTCCAGTGCAGAGAGAAGAGGTCCACAAGTGTGTAACGCTGCATAATCAGGTGTTTTAGTTTTTGTTTTTGTTTTTTTAATGTATTGAATCTTCTTTTTCCTTCAAAAAAATTCTTTGTTATAGGGGATAAGGATATTTAAGCAATATAAAAAACAATCAGTTCAAGATGCCCAATAGGCAGTTGGAGATGTGAGACTGAAGGTCAGCAGAGAGGTTAGGGCTTGAAAAACAGATCTGAAATTCATCCTCTTAAAGGTGGTAACTGAATCATTCAAGTCATGGAAGCTGAGAGAAGGGTCACCCAGAGGATATAGTGACTTCTGAAGGTTATGTGGGGTTCAGTGAGTGACTGTGGTGGTGGTGGTGATGTGATGACAATGATAAAAATGGCATTCCTACAGAGATCTAAGGTTTGCAAAGCACTTTACTAATATTTTCTCTTTCAATCTTCACAACAACCCTGGGAGGTAGATGTTATTATTATCACCAATTTACGGATGAGGAAACGGAGGCACACAAGGGTTAAGTGGTTTACCCAAAGTCATGCTGCTAGTATCTGAGACATTATGTGAATTCAGCTCTTCCTGACTCCAAGGCCAAAGCCACCTAGCTATCAAGTATAAGATGGACATAGGAATGAAGGATTAGATCTAAGACAAATTTAGAGATAAGTTTAACCATACAGTGGGAGTCCTAGAGGACATAATGAAGGAGCAGGGGCTCAAAAAGGGTAACAGAAAAAATGAGTTTCTACCTAATCATCCAGTGCCCCTGAATCACAAGAAGAGCAAAAAGGAGTATGCTAGCCATAGGATAACAAAGCAGCATTTGCCTTAGGCTCCCACACTCGAGTGCTCTGACCATTTTGGAGAGCAATTTGGAATTATGCCCAAAGGGCTATAAAAATGTGCATACCCTTTGACCTAGCAATAGCATTTCTGGGCTATATCCCAGAGAGATCATACAAATGGGAAAAGGACCTACATGTACAAAAATATTTATAGCAGCTCTTTTTGTGGTGGCAAAGAATTGGAAATTGAGAGGATACCTATCAATTGGGGAATGGCTGAGCAAGTTGTGGTATATGAATGTAATGGAATACTATTGTGCTATAAGAAACGATGAACAGGCTGACTTCAAAAAAGCCTGGAAAGACTTGTACGGTCTGATGTTAAGTGAAGTGAGCAGAACCCGGAGAATGTTGTACACAATAACAGCCACATTGTGCAATGACTAATATTGATAAACTTAGCCCTTCTCAGTAATACAAGGATCTAAGACATCTCCAAAGGTCTCACGATGGAAAACGCTATCCATATCCAAAGAAAGAACTACGGAGTTTGAATGCAGATCGAAGCATACTATTTGCTGTTTTTTTCTTCTGTTTTGTTTTGTTTCCTCTTTCTGGTGGTTCCTCCTATTGGTTCTAATTCTTACTTACAACATGACTAATACGAAAATATGTTTAATAGGAATGTATATGTATAGCTTATATAAGATTGTGTGCCATCTTGGGGAAGGAGGTAGGGAGGGAGTGGGAGAAAAATTTATAACTGAAAAGCTTATGCAAGTGATTGTTGATAATTCAAAATAAATTAATTTTTTTTTTAAAAAAGAGTCCCCTGATGGAGAAAATTATCAGATTATTCTTTCTCAAAAAACAGGAGAAGAAAGAGAGATCAGTCTGGGTATGCAAGTCAGCAATACCTGGTAACTGGGTCCCAAGAGTCTGATTAAAGATACCCTGGCCCATGGATTATGTTTTTAGCTCCAGAGCCCTGACAGCTCTTCTCCTGCTTGTGAATTCAGGACTTATGGTAGATGAGGCCCTGGACCTGCAAACCCTTCTAAGCTCAGGAACAACAAGGCAATAACACATTGCAAGCAACTTAGAAGAGCATTTAAAGGTGAACAAAATGAAGACTGACACCCATGTAGGGCTCAGAAGATTTAAACTATGCTTCTGAAATTGCTTAAAATAAACGTTCAAATCCTCAACAAGTATTTTTGTTACTATACGTACTAGACGTAGTCATTAACTCAGCTTACAATGCCCCACAATTCTTAGATTTTTACTTAGGGAAAGGTTAAAACAATGGAAAAAATGTTTTCCATATTTAATCTTTTGGTTACTTCTCTGGACAGTGCCATCCGTATAATCTGTTGTGGGTTAGGACAATCATACACTTTTCCCTTAATCACCTTAGGATGATAGAACCTAAGACCATTTCTAAAATGTGTGCAAGATTATACTATCAAATACTTACCACAGAATTCCAGCTTCTAAAACATAACTCCTCAAATTTATGCTAGCCCTCCTTTCCAAACTTCGTATTATCATGGAACTAATAAATTAGCTAGCAGAGTCAATCAAAATTTCTGAATTTGTATTGGACTAGCGTTATCAATCAAAATTTCAGTTTTTGTAGAACTCTCTGTCTCTCAAAGGATAATTTCTTTTAAGTCCCAAATTAATTTGTGTCAAACCTTAACCTAGTGTTTATTTATATGACTAAATCAACACACAACTCTGCAGATGTACTCATATAATCTCTACACTCTTATGACAGCTGCTCCATTCTATCAATCCCACAAAATACCAGTTGGAAGTTCTACAACATAAACATTAAGGTAAAGGTAAATCCCAGATACACTCAATTTCTGTTTTACTAAATCATAAAATTTCCATTTATCTGTTACATCAAAGACCAAAGAGAACTGAATCCAAGTCTCTATAAAACAGATACTAGCATTTAAGTTATTTCTGCTGCTCAAAATCCTAAAAAACTCAAGCACATTCATTTCAACTAGCTAACCCAGAAAGGAAGGCAAAGGAAAGGTTTTCCGAAAAGTCTGCTTCTCTACCTTCCAAAGATTAACATCACCCACCTTGTTTGCGAACATCATCTACAGCAGCCACAAGTTCCTCCTTGAGAAACTGACTCTCCTTGGCAATTTTGTCTCCCTTCTCCAAGAAATTCTCAGTTGCTTGTTCAACTGATGCAGCCAACACATGGGCCTTCTTAGAGCGACCTCGTTTCTTGTTGGAGGGTCCCTTGTTACTGGTGGTTACCAAAGTTGTAACCTAAAACAGTTTTACATTTAAAGAATAAATTGCAGACTTTTAAATGAAATTCTAGGAAGACAAACATCCAGGTCATACTCAGGTAGCAACAAAACATCATAACCTAACATTTATGAACTCCTAGCAGGCATTAGTCACTCACACAAAATATCAGAAAACAATCCTATTTAAAAGCGGTATTCCTAATTCAAATAAGTGGTTATAAACTGTAGCTTCCACAGGAACTAGGCCAACTGAGTGGCTTAGGCGAAAAACACAGCAGAGTGTGATGAAGCAGAAATGATACATTCCAGGAAAGGTTTTAAAAGTTTACATTAGGGCAAGAAAAAGTTTTAAGGGTCAAATCCATCATCTCTCCCATGCATCATTAAGCAAAGATCCAGAAAGCAGAATGTGACTTTATGAGGGTATGATGGAGCCAAGTTTTCAAAAGCATTTGGAGTTGTTTTTAATCCTTAAAAATTTGCTTCTGAAGACAAATTTCTTTTCATAGTTTATTCACATGAATTACTTTAGTAAGGACTCTTTAGTCAAGAGTCCTTTAAAAAGACACACACTACTGCCCAAAGAAATAAAAAATGTTAAGTTTTAAATCTCTGAATACTAATCATCTGAGTAACACAGTGAACAGCTATTTTATCTTTTACATAAGATGCTTAAAGACTTGTTATAGTTAAAAATGGAAAGAACTGAACTACAGAGTACCGCAGTAAATGGGTTCATAGGCTATAAATCTCTTTCCCAATTCCTACTACATTCATATGTATAAATACTAATTTATATTAATGAGATGGAATTGGAGAGGGGAAAAATGTCCCAAGCTATTCAATCTCATATTAATATAATCTAGGGAGTTATGCCTATATTCTTTATAATCTAACCAAAGCTAGTTAGTTATTAATTCTCAGTTAAATGCCTTTCATTCATGATGGTATCTATAAGTGTAACAAACAGATTAAAATAATCAAATTATGATAATCAAAAAACACAAATTATAATTAAAAAGAAACAACTCTCACATACACTCTCTATTCTAACACTTCCACCTCACTCCTAGATTTTTATAACAGACTACTGATGGGTCTTCCTGCCTCAAGTCTCTCCTCGCTCCAGCCCATCATCCTTTACTCAGCTGTCAAAGTTATCATGGCTCAGGTCTGACCATGTCACCCACTCCCTGATTCAAGATGCTCCCATCACCTCTAGAACTAAATACAAAATCCTGTTTGGCATTCAAAGTCCTTCACCACTCGACCCTCTACTACCTTTCCAGGCTTCTTATACCTTATTTCCCCATCCCATTCCCATTCCCCCACATAATCTGTGACCCTGTGACACTGACCTCCTTACTATTTCTCACACAAAATACTCTACAGCTAGACTCCCCAAATTTTTACTGGCTATTACCCATTCCTGGAATACTCTCCCTCTTTTATCTCTACCTCCTGGCTTCCTTCAAATCCTAGCTGAAATTCCATTTGTAACAAGAAGTCTTTCCTGGTGCCCGTTTACGCTGGTGCCTTCCCTCTATTGATCACTTCCAATTTAACCTGTTTCTATCTTGCTTCCATGTTGTCTCCCCTATTAGGCTGTGAGCTACAGTCCTTGTGACAAGAGGGACTGTCCTTTCTTTGTTTCTCCAGTACTTAGCACAATGCCTGGCACTTACTACTTACTGACTGACTTATCAAAACTACCACTTCTAATTAGTTAACTATCTTCTAATACTTGATATTTACACACAAAAAAGGCATAAACTGGGTAGGTGATGGTCAACCTTTCAAGAACTTTGTGTAAAGGGGCCATAATGTGTTCTAGAGAAAAGAATGCTGATCTCAGTCATGAGACCTGGTCCTGACCTGTCAAATTCTGGTCCTGACATTTCTCAGCTGAGTAGCCATGAACAAGTTACAATTGTCTCACTTACCAAATGGAGATTCCACTACCTGTAAATAAATCTGAAAACAACAGTTCTGGCATCTTGGAGATAGTGAATAAAGCTATCATGTGGTTCTCATAAATGGTATAAAAGTACCACCTCTGACACTTCTTAATTTCTATTATCACTTATATTATTTATAATAAGGGCCAAACACTGAATGAACAATGGAGTACGAATCAAAAAACCTAGTTTCTGATCCTAGTTCTGCTACTACCTGGATTAAGTCCTTTTCCCTACATGGCTTATGTTTCCTCACCTACAGAAAAAAGCAGGTTGGTTTACATGAGTTATAAAGGTCCTTCTAATTCTAAAATTCTGTGGCTCTTCAAAAAACATGACTCAACATGGAAACCTCCTCAGATGACACTACTATAAAGGTGCAAGACTGGTGTGTAAATTCTTACCTGAGTAACAAGAGGCTCCAAAAGTCTTTCAACTGCCAGAGTCCTTATCTCCAGACTTTTGGGGTCCCATTTGAAGTTTATGTTGCCTGCATGCACAGCAGTCATTTCTGGAAACCAAAAAAAAAAAAATCCACAGCAGTCAAAGTCTGGCAAGGATAGCAGACACAAATTTACAAATCATCACTAAGTTTCGTGTCAAAATAAACTCTCATTTTAAGTACTTTTCTAAAGACTACATAAATGAAAACCATCCAAGGCAGATCTGAAAAGAATTCTACAGCAACTGCAAACTGCAAACTGGGCCACAATATATCTGTCTCTCTCCCAACCAGATCAATATCTCAATATTCATATTCTCATGATAAACAAAACCATAAGATATAAAGGCAGCTGCAGCAGGATGGCCCACAAGTTCACCTTATAGAGACAAACAAAGGAGCTGTCAAAGATGGGTTTATAATGCATTCAAAGGCATTAAGAAAGATTTCATGGGACATTGATCTTTTTGTTTTGCTATGCTTATGAGAAGTATAAACATAAACATAAATGAGGTACGTGTATCAATATGTGTTGTAGCAGATAAAAAAGGTGAGAAAAATCTAAGAAGGATAAGTGAAAATCCTACAAAACAAATCAGTATATAGTCTGACACTTGGTCACTTCCATGCAAAGACAGATAGAGGGAAGGATAGCAAAAAGTATGTTATATAGTAGGTCTCAATTTTGAAGGGAAAAATGATTTGACCATTCAGATGTCTCACACTTATAAGTTATTAATACTTTCATCCAGAAGAAAGTCAAAATAAGCTGTCTGGATACAGTTAACTAGTTAAAGCAAAAGTCAAAATTATCTTTAAATTGGAAGGATAAAAATGATAAAAAATGAAAAAGTTCTGTGAAAAATTTCCAAAGGTTCAACATGATCTATTTAACCAAACTACTGATGCCAAAAACTAGGAAGCAGAAAAAGACAAAAACTGCCAAAGGCATTAGCCACAACTAAATCAAAAGAAGCCCAAGCCCAAGAAGTCTAGAAACTACTTCACTAATCAATGCAGAGAGACTAGGTAGCCAAAGTCAACACCACTTTGGAATACAAACTAATCTGTGTAAAAAAAAAAAAAATTTAAACCTATGGAGGATTATGGAAGAAGATTACAAGTAATAATGCTTCATAAAAGAGCAAAAATCTAGAACCAAACTGACAGGAAGCTTGGCATGAGATGCATGTGTTTTGTTGGTCAGTTTGCTTAACTATTCTTCTTTGTTAACAGGAAGCATTCTGTATGGGGGTAGGAGGATGAATATAATGAGAAATGATTGTGACATAAAGGAAAAAAAAATTAAAAGGTGACCGAAAGGTATTATGATCTGCTCTTTGTCTAATTTTTTTCTGGTATGATCTTGTTATCTTAATATTCAGGTCACATACCCATTCTGAATTTATTTTAGCATATGCTATAAAATGTAAGTCTAAGTTTCTGCCAACTCTTTTCTATTTTCCCATCAACTCTTGTCAAATAGGGAGTTCTTTCTTGGGTAATTTATGTTTTGGGGTTTACTGAACATAAGGTTGGATTCAGTTATTTCTAGTTTTTTCTTTATCTAGTCTGCTCCTTTGATTCTATTTTTTTCTAACTAGTACCAAATACATTTGATAATTATTGTTTTATAATATAATTTGAGATCTGCAGGTGGTATTCTCCCTTTATTCCTGCCTTTTTTTTATTATTTTCTTTGATATTTTGGATCTTTTTTCCTTAAAATTAATTTTATTATTTTTTTCCAGCTCTGCAAAGTATCTTTTGGTGGGCTGATCGTTACATTAGATCTGTAAATTAATTTTCATATCATTGTCATTTTTATGCTATTGGCATAGCCCTTCCAAGAGCACTTAATATCATTCCAACTATCTAAACTGTTCTTTATTTCTTTTAGAAGAATTTTTTAACTATCTATACAGGTACTATATCAAGTACATTGGTAGACTTATTTCCAAAATATTTTGCAGTATGATTAGGTGGTGAATTTCTTAACCAAAAAAGGGAAGATCACAAAAAACTAAATAGATGGTTTTAACTATATAAAATTGAAAAAAAAAGCTTTTGTAAAATTAATGCAACTAGGAAAAAGGAAGTAGTCAACTAAGAAAAAAATTTTGCATAAAATCTTTCTGATTAGGGCCTAATATCTAAAATATATAGACAACAAATAGAAAGATAGGAATAGTGTCTAAACATAAGGTTTCATTAAACCGGAAAACTCTTTCTGTCGATGCAGGTCACCACCTTCCCTGCCATTTACAGTCTTAAAAAAGCTGCCTTTTAAAAAATGAGGTTAAGCGACTTATTCAAGATCAAACAACCAGTATGTATCAGAAGCAAAACTTGAACCCAGGTCTTCCTGAGTTTGAGGGCAGACATCTATACAACACATCACACTGACTCTGAAGGTCATTCCCTAAAAATGAGTGGTGAAAAGTACAGGAACAAACCATATGAAAGAATGCTCTCAATCACTAAAGATAAATGCAATTCAAAACAACCCTGAGATTTCACCTCATACCCAATAAATTAACAAAGATAACAAAAGCTGAGAACAGCCAATGCTGAAGGGATTGTGGAAAGAAAAGACATTTATGCACTATTTGGGGAGCTGTGAGTTGGTCCAATTATTCTCAAAAATAATCTGGAACTATTTGAAAATGTCTATATGCTTTGACAATGAGAGTCCACTGCTAAGTATATACTTCAAAGAGAATCTACAGCAAAATGGCCCCATTATGCAGCATGTAGTAAGAATCGGAAACAAATTAGCTATCTTTTGGAGAATGGCTAAACAAAATTGAAGAATATGAATGGATGATTACAATTTTGTAAGAAATTATGAGTACGATGAAACAGGATCAATGTAACACTTAGATGAACTGAGACAAAGTGAAAAAGAATCAGAAAAACAACATATATGACTGCAGTAATGTAAATGAAGAGACTAGCAAGAAAAAAACATGAAAATAAATGCTGTGAAATTTTAATGGCCAAGGCTGGCCCCAAAGAAGAGATATGAGAAGACATTTGCCCTGCTTCTTTGCAGAGGCTGGATACGATGAGTGTAGAACTCCACACGTAACACAAGCTTTTTCAGTATGTTGGGTAGCTAATTTCTTCTTCCTCTTTTTAACTATTATAAGAGATGGCTTTCTGGGAGGGGAAGGCAGATATGATGGAAAATATAGGTGACCTAAAAACAATAGATATAAATAAGATATTTTTAAAAGGCATAAGTGTTAAAATATATAATGCAGGACCCAAAATTTTAAAACTCAAATTGCTGTGCTTTCCTCACAAGTATTTGGATCCAGTACATCTATAAGAGTACTGCTGATCAAACTGATGAGGCCTTCATCAGTTGTGATTTCAGGGCACGGCACCTCCCAGAGAAGCACATGAACCCTATGTGTGGCTGAGAACATTAGAGAACTGCTCAGATTAGTTCCCAGTGATTTGGAATACTTCCAATATGACTGGTGACAGAATCAGATGGGATGGAACTCTGTGTAAGAGCTCTCCCTTCAACATGGTCTATAAGGATAGCCCATCTCTCTTCATATGCCCTCTGCTTGGCTTGTCTTCTGAATCTTAGTGCACAAGGCAGATTTGGAGGGGACTTCTCTCACCCTCCCCTCTAGGAACAGAAAATTACAATTTTTTTTTTTTTTAGTAGAAGCATATGACAATCAGAGAGAGGAGTTCCCAGCCTTCTAGCATCTGGACATTTTCTTCTACTTCTCTCTTTTTCTGAGAAAAAAATCAGACGAGATTCCTGAAAATGGATCCATGACTTGATAGATTTCATGACTTGAAAATAACATTATTTGAGGAATAATCCTAATTTAGAGACTTCATGGTATAACTTATTTCCAATGATGATCCATGCATATAAGTGTATCACTTGAAAGGGAGGTGAGCTAATAATGTGTGAAAACTAAGGGATAATTATAAAAGATAATTACAAAAGATGGACAACTAGTATACCAACTGCACTTGTACTCATATAACACACACAAAGACCTAGCGGAAGGCCTCCACTATATTATATAGATTCTCTGGTAGATCTATGGGAAAATATAGACAAGAATGATACAGGATAAAATGGCATGCATAAGCTGAAAACTTCACTGATGAAGGGAATGCCCTACATTGATGAGATTAGAGACTTATTGAAATACTGAAGTGTGTACATGCATTATAAAATGGTTTAGAGAAAGTATTGGCAAAAGAGCAACACCGCCAAGAGAGATGGCAACTACATGAGAAGAGATGATAACAAGGGTCAGTCTTGAGATGTGTAGCTTCCATTATCTTTAGTTCTATGGGTAGGTTGGTAGCTCTGACATGCAGCAGAATGCAAGCTCCAATTCCAGATCCCAGACTCCAAAGACCTTTTAGATAAGGAGCTGGTATGGCACTAAAAGGTCCAGTGGCTAGTGAGCAAAGCAGTAAGGTATACTAGATCATTAAAATGAATGTATTCTCTGAATTGCTTAAAAAGGAATAAGGGGCAGGAAACTTAATTCTAACTATATCACAGCATAAAAGCAAGTGAGACAGAAGAAGATGCCAGTTAGTTAAGCCTTAGCATCCATGCATCCTGAGGGCTCGGACTGAACCAGCTGAACCATGCTTCATTCAGCAAAATTCTATTTTATACATTTCTGAGGAGGCCAAAAAAGTAGAGACCCAATATACTTGGTTTCATTTTCTTACTTGTCCAATGCAACCTCTACTTGCAGCACATCTACAACCCACTCCCAAACTAGAATAGCAAAGACAACAAGCATCTTATTTATCTGTAAGGCTACTTTAAAAGTGACTGCCACCTAGCATTTCTTCAAAAATATTTTAATACTTAATGAATTTTATCCTGTTGTTCAACAATGTATAGATTAGTACAATCTCTTTCTTTCTCTCTCATCCATTCCCTCTCTTTTCCTTTCTCCCTTCCTCCCTTCTCATCTCCATCCCCACCCACAGGTCTACAACAAATCAAATTTAATAGACTATTTTATCTCATTCTAAACCCTGCAAGCCTGATAACTGTGTATAAT